GCTGAGGCAGGAGAATCGCTTGAACCCAGGAGGCGGAGATTGCAGTGAGCCAAGATCAGGCCACTGCACTCCAGCGCTGGGAGACAGAGCGAGGACTGGTCTTCAAAAAAAAGAAAAAGAAAAAAAAAAGAAAGGAGCCAGGCGAGACAGGTGTTCCTAACACACGAGCCCTCGGTGGGGACGCTGCGCCGGCCTCTCGGCGCTACGGGAACACGGTGGCGCCCGCGCCCGCGGACGACGCCGCACGAGGCTGCGCCCGCTTGGCCCGGCCCGCTCACCGCAGCAGGTCCGGGCAGAAGAGGTGACGGTAGCGGGAGACCAGTCGGTCCCTCCACGTCGGGCGGCGGGCTGGGCATGACGCTCGCGGCGAGGACTGCGGGGCAGCGGGCGGAGCTGCCTTGGCCTCCGGGACCCCGGTCGAAGCGGCGAACGCTTTCCTGAAACCGGGAGCCCCGCCCCACTCCCCGGACGCCCCGCCCCACTCCCCGGACGCCCCGCCCCTCCTCTGATTTCTCCCCGGAGGCCCCGCCCCCGCGCGCGGGCTGCTGGGACTGGAAGTCAGCGCGCGAGGTGCAGGCGCAGTGGGGCGGGGGCGGTTCCCGCGGCGGAAGTCCGGCGTTCTGCGTGTCCCCTCCCCGAGTCTTTTTCACAGGTATGCGGCGTGAGCGCCGCGTTCGGAGCCTGCGGAACTTGTGGGATACCCCTGGCTCCTGGGTCCAGGCCGGGCTCGCAGCCTCTGGGCCCCCGTTCGCATCCCCGTAAATACCATGGGGAGCGCGGCCTGCCCTGCGCCGCTTCCCAAAATGACCCGTTTTGAGGCCAATAAAGAATGGTCCGGGGCCGGGCGCGGTGGCTCACGCCTGTCATCCCAGCACATTGGGAGGCCGAGGCGGGCGGATCACGAGGTCGGGAGTTCGAGACCATCCTGGACAACATGGTGAAACCCCGTCTCTACTATCAAAATACAAAAATTAGCCGGGCGTTGTGGCAGGTGCCTATAATCCGGGCTACTCGGAAGGCTCAGGCAGGAGAATCCCTTGAACCCGGGAGGCGGCCCGGGCGGGGCTGTGCCGCGAACCCAGGACGGGGCGCCCCGCCTGTACCACTGTTGGAAGAGGGGAGCCCGCCACGGTCAGGGGGGAAAAACACGCAGGGCCGCTCCTGGACTGGACATACCCGCGGGCCAGCGGCTTCAGGGGCGCGATGGGGCCGCCACCGCCGCCACCGCCACAGTAAAGGCTGCCAGGCCCTTTTTGCGCTGGATGGTGTCAGCCCGCCGGCCCCTTTCTGCCCCTTCCCAGGGAAGGCAGCTCCTTCTTTGGCGGGATCAGACGGCACCGGCTCGCGCCCAGCTTGGGTTCCCCTGGATTGCAGGCTGGTGGTCTCTGGACCCCCGCCTGGCTCATACATCCAACAACGTTATAGAACTAGGTGTGCAAAACTTCATCTTTACTCTTCAACTCTTTACAACTTGCATAAAAGCGTCATTTCTACCTCAGTTGGCGGAAGTCATAATTAATGTACCACCCATGTGCTGGGCACAGTGAATTTTAATGCCTCCCCTTTGGAGGAAAGGTTAGGATAACTTGCGAAGACCCCCCCACCACAAAGGCTGTCTGGCACTTTGGTGCAAAACGGATTGGTCCAATCTTGTGCTGGCTTGGGGTACAGAAAGGCACTGAAGTTGGTGGCTGAAACTCCTCTGGGCTGGGCTGGGGCAGAGGTGAACAGGGAAGTAAGTGGTTTGGGATAGGCAGGGATGGATGTGGGCTTGGGTTCTTGCTGACAGAGGTAGTTGTTCCTGTGTGGAGGCTGGGGTGGTAAGGGCAGCTTGAGCCTCAGGCTGAGTGGATGCTGCTGTGCTGGCCCCCGTCTGCCCAGCTCACCAGCTCACTGCTCTGGAACCACAGCTGGATCTCCCGCTGGGCCCCCTCCACGGAGTCGCTGGCGTGGATGACATTCCTGTGCCAGTGACAGGAGCAAGGTGAGGCTCAGGCTTCATGTGCACCCTGAGGAGTCCCAGGGACCATCTGTTGCTCCCCTGTTGCCCTCTGTCTAGGGGAGCAAGCCTGTGACTGCAGACAGGGAAGGAGTAACAGTGGAGCTGGGAAACCGGGTTCCAGCCTGGCCTCAGCCTGTTACAGCCTCGTGGACCCGCCCAGACCCCAGCTTTTGGGAGCCTCATTTCCCCCCAAGTTGCCCCGTGCCAACCCCTTGGGGTGTCAGGCAATGATGGCACGGTACATACAACACGAAGGGAACGCCTCATTGCCCTGTGTGCAGGAGGGTCTGGAAGAACACCGCTCTCACCAATGTGAGCTGTCATGTTCCACCTGGCTTCAACCCAGCACAGCAAGACACCCAGGTCTTGTGGATCTGCCACCACCCCAAGTGCTGGCCCTCCTCGTCCCCAGCAGCAGCCCGGTGTGTCAGGACCCCCGTACCTGCTGATGTGCACGCTGAAGTCACCCCTTATGGTTCCTGGGGCAGCCTCAGCCGAATCAGTGTGTCCAATCATGGCCCTGGAGGCGCGGACGACATTGTACCCTTCCCAGACCTGCAGCGCGAGATAATGGTTGGGAAGAAGTGGGGAACACCAAGGGCCCTGCGCTCAATCCAGGGCCCCTCCCTTTGCTGGGGGGAAGACACACCCCCAGGCCCTCCCACCACCCCTGCCCTGCCGTACCATGGCCACCATGGGCCCAGAGCTCATGTAGCGGATGAGGGCAGGGTAGAAGGGCTTCCTCCGCAGGTCCTGGTAGTGCTCGGCAAGGACGCTCTCTGGTGCCTGGGTGGCATTGAGGGAAGGAGGAGGAGCCACAGAGAGTAAACCTGGGCACTAGCGCAGCAGCTGTGATGCCCTGACCTCAAGCACCTTGCAGATAACACCAGCATGGGCAGCACCCCCACTGCAGAACAGATCCCTCCTGCCCCTTCAACTGCCAAAGCCAGGCCCTACCCTGACACTGGCTGGGATGTGAAAAGGCTGAGAAGGATCCCCCAACCCTGTCCCCACGGGGACACCCACAAGCCCAGAGCCCCACTACCTGCAGCATCTTCATCCCCACCAGCGTGAAGCCCCGCCTCTCAAAGCGCTGGATCACGTCCCCAACGAGCCGCCGTTGCACCCCATCTGGCTTCACCGCCACCAGGGTCCGTTCCCGGGTCCAGGAGGGCCCTCCGAGCCGCTCCGTTAAAGGGGCAGGGTCGGGGGCCAGCTGACCAACCTCACTTCCATCCCCGGACCCGGTCCCTGCAGAGCCCAGGGGCACCGGCGTTGCAGGGTGTCTGGCCACTATGCAGGCACTCCTGGACACGGACAGGATGGTTGCCCCAATAGCCAGAAATGGTTCCCATGATGTTCCCTGGTCAGGACCACCCATAGACAATGTGTCCCTAGGGCGGTTGGCCTCTCCAGGCCATGGCTCTGCCCGAGCAGGAGGCAGAGGCTGGCCTGGAGGGGAGGCACGGTCGCCGGAAGGTTCAGGAGACACGTCAGGCTCAAGGATCCCACCAAGGCCATAGAGGCCACAGCCAGCTCAGGGACCACCCCCGAGGTCACAGAGGGGCACAGCCCAGGCTTCAGGGACCACCCGAGGGCCAGCCGGAGAGGCACAGCCAGCTCAGACCCCGATGGTCACGGGAGCACAAGCCCAGGCCAGGACCACCCGAGGCCACGGAGGCACAGGGCCAGCTCAGACACGCGAGGTCCCCGGGAGGGCCAGCCCAGCTTCAGGGACCACCCGAGGTCCGGATGCCACAGCCCAGCTCAGGACCCACCCGAGGTCCACGAGGCACAGCCCAGCCAGGAC